TGCTCAAATAAGTATACAGTGAGTATAGGCACTACAATAGTTTATTTAGATCCTCAAGTAGGAGTGGTCCTAAAATAGCAGTAGCTGTTTGTAGGCGTTTCAAATATTTTCAAAACCGATCCACGTTCGAGTGGCATGGTGCAACGATTATTGACAAGACACAACCAACAGATAAACGCTTCACACGAGACAGGAAATGCTTTTTCACGTTCCCCGGGGGAAGAGAATAAACTGACTTTGTAGCCAATTTTCGCTTTCGAGAGAGAAGGCAAATTAAAGGGTTCACCAACGCCCTACCGGCCTTAATGCCACGTGTTGATTGCCTTCATTGGTAGGGGGCTAATTACCCAGGCCTTAAATATTTGTGTAGCTAAGAATAAAAACATCTTTATTTGGGATTAATTGGTCAACCTTCGTTGTTAGGAACCCTGGGACGCCTTGGCCGGTGAAACAAGCAATATGTTCAGCGACTGCTTTCGTACAGCCCATAATCCTCGCAATAAATTATCTACAGTCAAGGAGGGAAAATGTTTACACTAGGCTTACCTTTGTGTCTAAAAGTGACACTAGAAGGAATATTTTATAATGATATTATTAAGACCGTGTTAACATAGTACATTCTAGAACATTGCGTATTGTTCTGGAACTGATTTTGTGGTTTAATTGATTGACGTTTTCAACAATGTTTTTAATTCGGATAATAAAATTCTGCTGAGTTTATAGGACATGTATATCAGTGAAAAATATATTAGGACATGCATAAAACCACGATTCAATAATAGATCAGCCTATCCGGCTAATACTTCGACGAATTAACGTTCAGAGCAACTCATGACGAGTGCTAAATACATTTGTTTTTGCCTGGAACATGCGGACGTCCGATGAACGAACATTAACAGTCTTTAACGAGTACATACTGTCACGTGATTAGAACTTTTGATAACGCTATCGAATTTCTTAAGACATGAAATCAAATCTCACTGATTGTCAAAAAAGAGTAAAGGCCTCTTAGGGTCCAGCAAAATGCATGGAATAGTTAATTTCTAGCTTTTTCGATTATGAAAGCTCAAAAAGGAGGAAAAATGAAAGAGGAGCAATTAACCTTTTAATTAATGTTTTTTTTTTACGCGAACAGCATGACTTTATTTAATAGGAGAATTCGGCACTTCTTGACTTCTGACCCATCACACATTGGGGCAAGTTTCGTTGGAGGGCTGTCACGAAGTCTTTTTATTAAAGCAATGACGAAATAGCGATTCTGTATTCTTGTCAAATGTTATTGGAATTGATGTGCGCCTTCAGCCGACTTTTATACTGCTGTGGAACACAGGATACATTGTTTGGAAAGCCAAAAGTTAGTGAACTTTTTCAGTTTAAATTGCAGGTTATTTTTTTCCTCACCACAAACATAAACGTTTCATTGATTTGAATATATGAAGTGCTGATTTACTCCTTCGAGTGTAACGGTATGTATTATGAAGAGTATGATCTGATCAGAACTAATTATAAGTTTGAGTCAGGGGCCGATAAGTCTGCTCTTGTTTGAGTTTTTTCTTCTCCGTATGCGTCCATCAGTTTTTCGTGGGCTAGACATGAAGGCCAAATGGAAAAATACATATAGTATAAAAATAAAGACCCTAGAATTTTATAAATTCTCCTCTTTGTTACCTGTTTCCGCGGGAAGGGGGGCGAGGGTGGTACCCCTGGGAATTTTTGTTGGGTGTGCTGCTCTGTTCTCAAATCCCGACCCTATTTCAGACCAAAAATGTGGTTTTTCTTACCCGTTTTCTTCCATTTGTAATTAGTGTATTTATAGTATATTACTATTTTAACATTTCAAATGTCTTTCATATCACTACTTCAACGGTTTATATTTTTGTACACTTTTAACGTTCGCTTTTTTCTTATTTAAATTTTCACGTGTTATTATTAATAGTATCATGTTGCAGACTAATTGTAACGTCTTAGTTTAACCTTATCATTGTATGTAAAACCCTGAAGAAGGAAGGCCGTGCCTTCCGAATTATTGTAAAATATATATTTCCAACTGTAAAATCAGCCTTGCTTCTTTTGTTCGATATTTCAACTTATAGCTGATTAGATCCTTTATTAGGATCCGGTCCTTCCAGCCCTTCTTTTTTGCAACGTTGGTCCTCGCTTCCGAAATTGAATCTCTAAAATCCATACCCGATTTCAGACCACGGTCAGACCTGGTGTCTAAGAAATCGTGTCTTCATTACTTACATTAGAACGCCATCAATTCGAATCTAGCCTGAGTATCAGGCCTTCCGAAGGGGCTAGGGTAGAGGAGATTTTAGATGGGGGAGGGGGTAGAAGAGAAAGCTCTCTCCCTTTTTCGCTTCCATCTTTCCCCTTTTCCCCCAGAGACGCCTGATACTCAGGCTAATTTGAATCGGATTCCAGCACTTACTGTAACGGACTGCCATATCGGTTTCAAATGTACAGCGGTTTCCTCGGTATTTTATTTATTTATTGACGACAAAAAAACAATATTAATATACAGCACCCACTTAAAAAAATAAGTAGCAAAACTAATTACAGCCTTTACATACTAAAAAAGTAAGTAAAAGAAAATAAAAATATCAATAAACAAAATATTAGAGGATTAAAAGCTGTCAGTTGCCACACATATTTGTTGTGCCACAATTTTCAATGCGATATTGTACAAATAGCTTAGTAGGTAACAATTCATCTAAATTAGGTTTCTTTGCGATGTTTTTGCAAGTATACATCAAGTATATCTTTTGCAGTAATACCAATAGACGAAGTCTCCTTAGAACTGAGTTTGACATTTGCAATGGAAAGGAGTCTTCGAACGTGTTTATAAAATTTTGTTTGTTTGAAAGTTGTACGTCCTTCTTATGATAATCAAACACCCTAAAGTTTTGGAAAAGAATTCATTTGACTCTTGGATATGTAAAGGTGTGTTGAATTAAATCTGGATTAAGGCAGAAAGGACTCTTGTCATATCAGAGGCTAATTTATATTTCAAATAGCTCTTTCTTGGTCGTGATTATTGTGTGGATAACCTTTAAGAGAATTTTCTAAACTTATTATCTTTCGAGGCCATATATTCACAAAACAATCACTGCAATCAGGAAGTTCTGAAAAACTTTTCTTCCAAGACATTATTGCGGACGGTACAGGAGCATGTTTCCTAATGAACAGACTATAATAGTTTTTACAGCGAAATTTAGTTAAGGCTATAACTGTTCTACCTTCTATCTGACAGTACTCTGACGTTGCGTCAAGCAGACCAGGAACCGGGAAACCAAATGCCTTTCGTTTCAAATCTGGAGGTATGGCAGCAATTAATTGAAAATAATGAAAATAGTTAACTTTAATTTCAAATTTACTTTGAAATTCTATCTAGGTCAGAGATTTACCGTCTGAGTTCATTAAATCACTAATAAAAGCAACACCGTAATCAAATCATTGTTTCCAAAAGACACCATTCCTTTCTATCATGATTTTTCTATTATTCCAAAGAATGAGGTCATCGTTATTGTCGTCTTCTGAGAATTTAGTTGGTTCTTGAAAGTAATCTAGTATTACTAATTCGCGGTAATTAGTTAATGTTATATAAATAGATATCAGTCATCTCGGGTGTACCCCTTTATAGAACTCTTCTCAAGATTAGTACGCGTTGATTAAGATCTCCGGTGGAAACTAGCTGTAATACGTGCACAGCTCCTAGCCTGCAGTGCAGGCGTTTTCTTCGAGCGCGCAATTTGCTCGCGAAAGCGCCATGTTGAAACTTCCCGAAGAGCGGAGGAGATGGGGCGAGTCAAAGGGAGCGGGGAGGGGGCGGCCCGGCGGGGAGAGAGAAGAGAATTTTCTCCCCTCCCCCTTCCCCCTTTCCTTCTTTCGCCCTCGCACCTACCGTAAGGGTTACTATTTCTACTCTCCCCAATCTTCCACTGTCATAACTAAACAACAATATTACGAACACGAACAAGGTTTCGCCCACCCACAATACGCCTGCACTGCAGGCTACACAGCTCCCAACATTGTTGGGACTTGTTGCGTCCGTGTTGGCAGTGGTGTGCAAACGGATGCAACAACTCCCAACAACACGAAACATGCAACAGGGTGTGCAAACGGACGCAACATGTAACATCCAACAATGTTGCGTCCGTTTGCATGGAGATTAAACATCAACCTCCTCCACTAAATGGACACGATAAAACGATTTCTAATACCTTCCTACCCTTAGCAATTTAAAAGAAATATATGTTATTAAAAAACTTCTAGTCCTGACTAAAGTACTAAAATTACAGAAGCCCACAGTTGAAATTTTAAGAATTAGAAAAAAATAAAATTATCTGAGTGATGAAGTAAATGCGATCACCGTTCCCCTGAAAAATCTCACCTTTTTTACTTCCTACGACCGATCAAGTGAGTCACAATCCAGCAGACTCAGTGCTCACACCATTTCCTCAGCCTCGATGATAGCAATTTATTCGCACCTTAAGTCAAATCTTTAACAGTTATTATTGGACAAGGTTGAGCAAAATACCGTGATTTGTCAGTGGCGAGCAGATCAATTATTTGGCGAAGCCGAAGGCTAAGGCAAATAATTGATACAGTATGCGAGACACTGACAAATCACGATATTTTGTGATAACCGAGTCCAATAATTGTTTTTTCATTCGATCACCGAGTTTTTTTTTAAAGAATGTCTTCGTTTTATTCGCATTTCTGCCACTCTAGTTATGGATTCCGGTTTTAAGACACTCAAGCTACGTGCAAACGAACGCAACAACTCACAGCATTGTTGGCCCAACAATGTTGGGAGTTGTTGCGTCCGTTGGCACAAAAGTAAAAGTTTGAACGGTTTCACACTTTTGCACAACAAGTCTCAACAACACGCAGCAACATGCAACAGGGTGTGCAAACGGATACAACCCACAACACGTAACATCCAACAATGTTGCGTCCGTTTTGACGGGGCTTCAATGAAAACCGCCCTATGCCCTTTACACCCATGTAGATCCATTTGGAGCCAAATTTTCAACTCTTCCACTCTGGTTTGCTTCTGAAAACCTATTTTTTAACTCATTAACGAATAGTGGCAGACCAGCCGTCTTCTCGGATGCCTCAATGAGCTTTCCAATTGTGCTGTGTTCCTTCTCAGAGAACGCCTCCAGAAATTTCTCCCCTGGATTTTCCGACTGTTCCCAGTTTTGGCTTTCGTCCCGTAATCCAAGGTAGTCGGTAAAATATTTCCAGTAGTGATACCCTAAAATGAAAACAGTATCTCTTGGTACATTTTTTAAGTATATAAATAAGAGGAATCTTGGTCGAGTGCGGAAGCCTTTTGAATAATCTGAATGAAACGCCACCTCTTCAGCTGTAAAGGTACTTTACTTACTGCACACAAAAACAGCGCAACTCTAAAAATTGTCAGTGTATTATCTGTCGCGCGGTCATCAAATTATTTTCCAAGTATACTGTTTAGAGGAATTATTTAAATATTGAAAGCCTTGGATTTAAGAGCTTAGAGGACTGAAAGAAGGGGAATATAGGAGTGACAAGTTATAATGTATAAAATGGGGAATACAGAACCAATCAGTCCAACAAGACTAGGTGAACACTGTCTAGTGCTGAGAAAAACAAATCCCGTTTGACCCCTGTGACTTTCCTATACGATGAGTGTAACCCTCAAAAACGTACTTGGGACCCTATGTAAGACCTTCAGCTTGCCAGACTTAGTCATCATTTCTCAGCTCTCCACACTGCAAACTGTGTAAGTCTTTAACAAAGTGATCTGTTCGCATAAAACATGGGCCTCTCTTTGGGTACCTGCAGAGTGACGTTTTTATTTTTGGTCGCTAACTTCCATCAAATCGTCGCATATCAAGAATTGACGACGACGAAGTAACGAGAGAATTGCTAAGAAAACCGATTTAATAAGCAAAACAAAAACCCTGAACTTGCAACACGCTTTCTGGTGTATTTATTTGCCGTCACCGCACGACTAACGCTGTCAAGTTTGATCAGAATGGCAATGCCATCGCTCGCTTAATTTTATCTCCGCTATATCGTTTCATCAACACTACAACGACCGTCGCCAAAACACCCGGCCGTAGAGAGTCTCAAGTATTAAACCCTAAAACCTGAAAAAAAAAAAAAAGTTCAAGTTTACCATGAGTATCTTTTTTGTTCAGCTGCATGGTTATGAACTTTCTGTCAAGAGTTGTTATATTTGAAATTAATGTATCCAATCCACCTAGGGAGAAAAGAAAAAACAAAAGAAAAACGTTATATTGTGATAACATTTCTATGAAAGTTAAAAAATAATGAAGTGAAATGACTGAAATTTTTAAGAATATTGAGGGACTAGAATTCATATTGAATTGGCAACTTCAGTGTAGTAACTGTCAGTAGTAATCCAGTGCACACTTAAAATTAAAGTGTAATGTTACAAAGGAAAATTTGTAATATTACACTTTTTAACGAGTAATGCGTTACACAGAATTTTCAGTGTTGTTTTACGCTTTATGTCGGGTAATTTTACGCAAACTTTAGTGTAAAAGAGCTGGTACTCTTAACATGATAATATTACACAGTTAAAGGTATACTTTTACAATTTTTTCTATTGTAACATTACACGCAGGGTACGGTGTACATTTTACCCGTTTTTACAGCGTAAATGTATACCATAGTAAAGGTAATTTTACACTAATAAACTCATAGAATTAAACACACCTATCGGTGTTAGAGTATACTAATAACACAGAGTAATATTACACAATTTGTAGTGTTGTGTTACTCGTTTTTTCGGGTACTTTAACACCAACTAAAAGTGTTAAAATTGAAGTGTATTGTCAGAAAGGAAAAATTATAAAGTGACACTTTTTATGGTGTAAAACACTACACAGAAATTATGGTGTACTGATACTCGTTATTTTGAGTATTTTTACACCACGTTTAGGCTGAAACAATAGGTATTTTTAACATTTACTTACAGAGTAAATGTATACCACAGCGGAGGTAATTATGCACTCACATGTGCACTTATACGTTTATAGAATAAAACACCCACTCTCTTTTTTTAAAAAAAAATATCGAAGCAAGAAAATCTTCATCGCGTGAATAAGTTATCTGAGCCGCTAGTTGTACATGTAGCAGGTATATACTTCAGCTGCAGTCTAAGGTCTCATTTCAGATATATCGTACGAAATTCACGCAACTGCATTTGTATACAGTCATGTGTAAATTGAAAGGTGTTTTAGCTAAATTAATGAAATGACCTAAACCGCTAACGATGCATCACTCCATTGACAGGACTGTCATTTGTGCGGGTTTCTATCTTTCCTGAGAAATGTAACACTATGTTTCTTTCTTCTTCTTCTTCTTTACTTTTTTTTCTTCATTGTCCATTGTCTTCGTACTATCGATTTAATTCAGACCATGTTCCTTTTCCGCGTGTTCTCGAAGAGGAAATTTACAGCAACTTAAATTACGTGACTGAGTCAAAAGCCGCAGCAGATCCAAAGATCACGACCAGGAGCTTAAGTGACAGGGCGCGAATTTTCGTGCAATCAGGATCGATGATGTTGCCGATAAAGACACTTGAATACCGTTTGTATTCATCTTTTGTTCCAACCGTCCTCCACGAAGGTTGTACTAAAATTAAGCGCCGTAAATTTGAAGATTTTAACTCAAAGTCAACATTGATTTCAAGTTAACAAGGATGTAGGGCCGATTGTTAGAGCAAAGGATGATGGAGGCTCCAAATGACTGCTAAGAAGAGAGCAAAAACCATGCATTCAAACATGTTCAAAGAAAACGACGGCGCTTTTCGCATTTCGAGGTGAGTATACTTTCCGTAATTTCTGAGTTTTATGTTAAAACTATAGTCTGGCCCTAGATTTCTTGAGGCTTTTGAAGTATTGTTTAACCATACTGCAACACCTTGAGCGGTTTTCCTACTGTGGGAGAGCGCGATGCGATATCAAAAGCGCATTGTGAGGTGTTTAGCTTTGAAATCTCGAAATTAAGATAACCTCGCTATTTCGCCTCAAATTTTTGTTTAGGCTTGTTAGGAGAATAGCCTGACAGGAGACAGATATATACGACTAACATTAGAAATATAGATAGTGGATATAAGCTGACTGAAATGTTTTGTGAATATTGCCGTTGGTTGTTCGTTTGCTTTTAACCGCCAAAAGGTCGCGTGACATGACGTCAACAGCGAAGACTGCATTGTATCACCTTGTTGTTTTTGCAGACACAAATTGAAGCTTAAATATTTATAGCGAATTTAATTACTTTTAATTCGAGTGGTTTTGCTCTTTGCAAACAAAAGACGTGTATTACAAGCGTACCACCCGAACTGTTCGGGGGATCGTGATGTCACGCGCGACATTTGATTCCATACATTTACTATTCAAATGATCGGTAGAAATGCTTCATAAAACACAGAATTTTGCACCTTTTGATCCCAAATGTTGATATAATGTAAGTTATCTTTATTTATTTTTCTTACATTATACCTAGTGGCTATTCGTACCGGACCTGTACATCGACTTGTATTTGATATGTAGAATAGAGATAAATCCAAACCAGAAAAATATATTAAGCTTGCCTAATTTTTATATGTGATTTCGCAGACAAAAACCTGTAATTGCACGAGGCTTAAAAAGGCTTAATATCATTTTCATTACTTTACCTGTGTTTTGTTTTCATCATGGCCCTGGTCCACCGGCCAGGTGGTTATGTGAGGTGGTCATGCCCTCCTTTGACTAACGACACAGTCAGGTGGTTTTGCCCGCTTGTTTCCAGGGGACTCATGGATTGGAATAAAACGTGTTTTTCGAGTAATTTTGTGATCAGATATCTGAATTGAATCTGAAGCTTTCGTTTCAATACCAAGTCATAAAGTCGTATAGCTGTGTTTTGTTTTCATCCTGACCCAGGTCCACTGGCCAGGCAGTTATGTAAGGTGGTCATGCCCGCCTTTGACTAACGACTCAGTCAGGTGGTTTTACCCGCCTGTTACTGGGGGTCATGGATTGGACTAAAACATGTTTTTTGAGCAATTTTGTGATCGGATATCTGAATAATATTGTATAGTGAAGCTTTCGTTTTGATACCAAGTTATAAAATCTTATAGTGTGTTTTGTTTTCATCATGGCCCTGGTCCTCCGGTCAGGCAGTTATGTAAGGTGGTTATGCCCGCCTTTGACTAACGACTCAGTCAGGTGGTTTTGCCCGCCTGTTACTGGGGGTCATGGATTGGAATAAAACATGTTTTTTGAGTAATTTTGTGATCGGATATCTAAATTGTATACCCAGTGAAGCTTTTGTTTCGATACTAAGTTATAAAGTCTTATAGTGTCTTTTGTTTTCATCATGGCCCTGGTCCTCCGGCCAGGCAGTTATGTAAGGTGGTTATGCCCGCCTTTGACTAACGACTCAGTCAGGTGGTTTTACCCGCCTGTTACTGGGGGTCATGGATTGGACTAAAACATGTTTTTTGAGCAATTTTGTGATCGGATATCTGAATAATATTGTATAGTGAAGCTTTCGTTTTGATACCAAGTTATAAAATCTTATAGTGTGTTTTGTTTTCATCATGGCCCTGGTCCTCCGGCCAGGCAGTTATGTAAGGTGGTTATGCCCGCCTTTGACTAACGACTCAGTCAGGTGGTTTTGCCCGCCTGTTACTGGGGGTCATGGATTGGAATAAAACATGTTTTTTGAGTAATTTTGTGATCGGATATCTGAATTGTATACCAGTCAAGCTTTTGTTTCCATACCAAGTTATAAAGTCTAATAGTGTGTTTTGTTTTCATCATGGCCCTGGTCCACCGGCGAGGCAGTTATGCAAGGTGGTAATTTTCATGCCCGCCTTTGACTAATGACTCAGTCAGGTGGTTTGGCCCGCCTATAGTGTTACTGGGGGTCATGGATTGGAATAACACATGTTTTGAGTTATTTTAATTTGTGATTTGATATCTGAATTGAATATCTGAAGCTGTGTTTTGTTTTGTAGAGGAGGAAAAATGTACTTGATTGTTAAGACTCTAGAGAAAAAACCTTTTTACATCTTAAACCTAATATGTAATTATTTTGTGAATGAAATTTAATTTAAGTAGTTTACCTTAACCATGTTGTTCAAGAGAGCATTATTGTGTTAGTTCAATTAGAAGGAATTCCAAAACACTCAGTCCTATTTTCAACCCTCATGACCGACACAATAAATTAAGAACACTTTAATATCGACTAAAACAAGTCTTGTTTTTTTTTTTTCAATTTCATTTGTCACGCAGGTTGCAGCCACAAGAGGACAATATCTAGAAGAAGCAAAAAAGATGCACCGCCATCCATTTTTACTGTGGGAAAGGAATTACACCATGACTGTAAAAATACTAATAATTGGAGAGGAAGACTTCCTGCTAACTATCTTTCCCGGGTACCACCTTGCAGCTCAAACCTTGAACCTCCTCGGGCTCTGCCCTAAGCACTGATTTGTGATAGGACAGTACGCATCACTCCTAAGCAGTTAGACAGTACACACCATGGCTTGCACACTTGACCTTTCATTTTTACTTATTGTTAGAAGTCTAGCTGCTTATTCAGTGATTAAAAATGTGATTTCCTATATTTTTCAAATGCGTAATTTTTTTGCCTAATACTATAAATTGATGTAATATTACTTTTCTGTTAATGTTTTATTACCCCTATGGGAAGTGCAATTTTACACTTGACCAAGGTGTAAACCATTCACAGTTACACTGTTTGGTGTGTAAATGAACCTTCTGGTTGCGTGTCAAATTACACTATTGGACAATGTGTAATAATACACACAAAAAAAAGGCTGCCGGGGCTGGCAAAGCTACTACACTATCATTTGGTGTAATATTACTGTTCTATTAGTATTTTATTACACTTATAGGAACTGCAATTTTACACTTGACCAAAGTGTAAACCACTCACATTACACTGATTGGTGTGTAAATATAACCTCTAGTTGTGTGTTAAATTACACTATTATAAAATGTGTAATAATACACAGAAAAAAAAGGCTGCCGGGGCTGGCAAAGCTACTACACTATCATTCGGTGTAATATTACTGTTCTATTAGTATTTTATTACACTTATAACAGCTGCAATTTTACACTTGACCAAAGTGTAAACCACTCACATTACACTGATTGGTGTGTAAACATAACCTCTAGTTGTGTGTTAAATTACACTATTATAAAATGTGTAATAATACACAGAAAAAAAAGGCTGCCGGGGCTGGCAAAGATTTTACACTTTTTTTTGGAGTAATGTTACACTTTAATTTTAAGTGTGTGAAACAAGGCTTCCTTTAAGTGGGCCAAGTTTACTCTTTTACGGTTCTTATCCAAGTTGTTGATGCTATTCCTATTAGTGAATCAATTAATAACAAGTTTAGTCCGAACGCTCTCTAACATGCACTTATAGCGTTCTCTTATCTTAAATGTGAGTCCATCTTATAGTTGATTCAGAATACAATTTTAAAATATGCTTGGTTTCGTTCATACAAAGCCTTTTCACTCACGTGGACAGCAGTTATGCAAATTATTTCAACAAAAAGAGTTTATACAATAAAATTAATAAATATAAATGCAATAAAGAAAATAAATTATAAATGTAATAAATGTAGTTAGAAAAAGGTTTAAATTGGTTGGGGACACCAACATGGCCGCCGTTTCATAGTAGGTTTCATGACGGGTCTCATAGCAGTCAACCGACAGCCGTCAAACTGCCAACCCGTTTTAACCGTCAGGCAGATTGGTATTAACCGTAAAAAAAAAGTCTTCAAAATCTGTAAAATCTCACTATTTCAGCTGACCTTCGAGGACTTCTGGCTCCTGAAAAATTTATTCCCTTAACTGGAAAAAAACAGTTCCCGTGTTCTCAAAATGACCCTCTCTAAATTTAACAAGACCTTACAACTTGCATTCATCTTAAAATGTTTCAAAATGTCTTAAGTCATATGAAATTTTTTTTGATATTTCATATGACTTATTTTTATTAAAATGAAGTATCTAAGACTTACCATTTCATATAACCAAGTGTTTTCTACGGTCTTTCTAATATTTAATACGTAGAATTCTTTTTGTATAACGTCAAGAAACGAGTAATTTAATTATATTAGTTTGCTTTGAGTATTAAGGTGGCTGAACACAGTTTTGGCAGTTTGTGAGTATATCTCATTTGCCAAATCATGGCATGAGAAAGGTTGCAGCTCATAAGCTGAAACTTGGCAAGTGAAAAATATACTGATGAAAGATTTTGATTGACAGGTCAAATGTGATGTTTTAGTAGTTTCCATGGCAACATGAACGATTGAATAAAACCTTAAAATTTCACTTTTGCTCAGTTTTCATAAAATTCGCTCATTAGATTTTCCTATAAACTTGCACACAGCTTACTATAAGTAATCATTACCATATGAAACTTATTTGACCAAATTTTAACAGACAGGTTTTTCAGATAATCAATGATATAATTGTACTGTAATTATTAAATGTGTCACAAAATTTGTCTGTTCTACTTCCATTTTAAAGTTCTCATTATTTAAAATACGATAAAGGTAATAATTCTGCCAAATATCACAAAATTTTAATGAGTAGATTTTGAGAAATCGTCTTCTGTGTACCATCGTTTTTTTTTTTGCCGTGTTTGTTTGTCTAATTTAAAACACGCGCCGTCACGCGAGTTGCCGCTGACCGCCCGGAAAACTATGTTCAGCCACCTTAAACGCTTGATGAAAAGAAACAAAAAGATATTTATATACCCTTTTATAATGTTCTGTTATATAATGTATAAATATTTACTTACGCTGCTGCATTAATGGAGTGGACTGATGAGCGAAACCATTGGATTCTTTGTCCTTCTTACGTGTTCTTCTACTTCTACTTCTATTCCAACATAATAGCACCGCAACAGCGAGAGCGATTACTAATACCGCTAGGACACCAGATAATAGTCCCCAAACTAATATTTGGCTCACTGAGGGTCTCTCTTCGGGCTCAGAAATTTCAGTTTTGGAGGTTTTTGTCCAATCAATAGTCGTGCTACTGGGAACGCTCCGCGGTGTCTTGGTGATATTTGTTGGACCAGCCGTACCTGATACCGACAGATCAGTAACATGAATATCAAGGAGGACCCAACGACCGAATGTTTCGAAATAAACAACGTGGTTATTCTATAGAAAGAAGTCTTTGGGTGCCCCTAGAAGATGCATAGTTGACACATGCAGTCCTTACAACGATTAATTTGTAATCGCAAAATTTGGCTGCAGAAACCTTTGTACACTCTTTCTTCTTTCTCACGATTAAAAGATTTCCCTCGTTTTAAGCGACCATCACTCCATATTGACAGTAATCTTTCCAGTGTCTAATTCGTTTACGCGCACAAAAAACATTCATACAGACTTTGCACTACTCCACCACTTATGAAACATCGCATTCCTCACATCAGAAACCGCCTAGTGAATATGGATACCAAACTTTGGGCGCCGGTGATTTTCTCGATCGACTCGGTTAATTATAAGTCCCCGTCTTCATTTAACCGTTCCCCGGCAAACTCAGGATAGAAAGCTAAGAGATGTTTAGTCTAGCTAGCAGATATTAATCAAGCAGCAGTTACCATCTGCCCTGCCGAGTTATATTTTTGCTGTTCTTATTATCTTTAAAGGCTCAACTTCTTAAAAAAAAAAGAGTTAAAATTTTCTGCAATATTCTCCACATCTACAAACACAGCAAAGCTAACGCAACCTGGTCCTCAATGCCTCTGGGTTAGTGTTCCTTTTTCTGTCTATATGATTTGCTATTCACGTCGTCATTTTACCAGATATCGCAAACTGTCCTCCAAACTTGGTTAACGCTAGCTGGTCTTGGAGAATTAGCTAGGGCGCGGGGGATTTGAGCCAATTAGACACGGATAAATATTTTTGAATGAATAATACACGAACAAAATACCCGTCTCTTTCATGGTATTAGAATAGCGGAAAGAAAGTAGACTAAGAGAGTGGGCAAAGACTGAAAGAAAAGGGAGAGACTATGCCAATTTCGTTTGTTTGTGTATTATACTTACTTGGGACCCATAATTCGCTCGTAGTGGATGGCATCTTTTGGCATTTTCGGTCATGCGCTGTGCTACACTTTTGTGTCTCCACTTCGCCAATGGCGCATTTTGAACACTCCACACATCCCCCGTCTAATCCTGTGCCCTTGTCGAAATAGCTTCCCTCTTTACAACCACTACAGACGGTTGGGGAATATATTGTACACTTACTTATCACCTTAAAATTTCCATCGGGACAATTTGAACCTTCGTTACATCTGTGAAACAAAGAATGAAGACCCTGGTGTTAAAAAGCTCCAATTTTTTTTTTTTTTTCTTGGGGGGAGGGGAGCGAAGTTAAGGAATGCTTAGGACAATGCTAGATGAGAAAGAACTGGGTACCTTGTTATTTCTTGATTGTAACTATCTGCGAGGTTTCTATCTGTCACTATTCATGTAAACCCTGATCGGCTTTCTCCTCAGCGTAATAAATCAAACAAACAACATAATGAGGAAAACGCGCCATCAATCTTATTGTATCTATTGCTTGAATTAACTTACTTGATACACTGTGTCATGTCATTTGTCCCTGAATAATCATACCCAGCAATACAGTCTTGACACTCTGTGTCCTTCAGAGCTGTACACTTGGTCTTAACCCCGAATCCTCGAGGACATTTAGAACATGTTGTACATGATGTACCATTGTAGTATTGTAGGGGAGGACAGTCGTTTGATGCTGTAGCCAACTGCAAGAGATCATACAAGACGCATTCAGTTGTGCTTTGATTGCCAAGGTTATATCGAGTTAAAATTGAAGACTCACTTTTGGAGAATTTATCATTATATTTTTTTAAATTCTTATTGTTCGTGTTTATTTAAAAATAAAACATTTTTTCTTCACTCTAATAGCCCATTCCGTTGGTCAAACAGCACCTCACTGAACGGTTCACACAATTGGCTGTGATAACGGGAAAAAACAATAACCCTAGGCCTCAACACAAAGGCAATATTGTTTTAGACGACCACTTAAATTAGAGGTTCTTGTGAGGTAGTGGACTATTTTCATTTGCCCAGCTCATCTTACAAATAATTACTGCGTTTTAAAATTTCTTTTGTTTTTTCTTTATGAATTATTAATGAGTTTGCTGAAAAACTTGTTGTACGTCCATTAACTATAATTTGAGTTCAGCTCATATGTATAACTGTCTCGTCCACATGTATCTAGACTACGAGTAGTCCCCATTTTCCCTCAGGGTTAGTAGAGCGATCAAAACGCGAGCGCGCTTGAAAATCACCCCACCTGAGAAAGGCGTGGGGTGATTTTAACCTCGATGCACGCTCAACGCATATTCTGTTTTCAATATTCCCAGAAAAGTCCTGGATACTAGAGTGAATGATCACGTGTGGACTTGGAAATTTTTTAATCCGGAAAGAAAAAGTTACGGATTAAAAAATATCCGTATACGTGTTGACGGGGCCTTATTTAACCCTTTCCACCATGTCCACAACATACTCTTGCAGTGTTGTTGGACTGGGATTTACGCCATTTTTCATATCTTCTTAATGTTTTGATCATTTCCGAATTCTTGCGAGCTAAAGCCCCCTACCCCCACCCCCCCTCTCACTATTCTAATGTAGGTCCCAAAACGTCTTTTAATAGCTATTTTGTGACCTATTAGCCATTGTAAGATAGCAAAGCCATCGAAATAAAAGCTTAATGACTTTGTCATTCTCAAGATAAGAGCGTTGACATGATAATGGGGTGCCATTCAACTTTACAAAATGTCTATATTAAGCGTCTGAAAGGCGCAGCCCGAGGCCATCATACATATCCCCTGAATCACTTGTTTGGGATACAATGCAATTGAACTTAGTAGAGTTTGTGTAATGCGATCATTTTGAAAATTGGTTTTAAGATTTAAGTGTTGCCGCAGTAAAAGTACACAGATGGTTTCATCACTTCTGTACTTTAATCTTTGAAGGTGTCTAGTGCCCGCTTGTACAAACGCAACCGCGAAAACAAAAAGAGTGACCTTTTGACATGCGCCATGTTCTGAAGCTTTGGAATTTTCTTTTATTTCAAGTGGCTCAGAACGGAAGTGATTTATACATCTTTACGTCCTGACTCAGGGCACTGGCCTATGAAAAGTTCTCGCGTGGTCTTTTTCTCGCTTGTCGTTTACAATTTTTTTTTTTCATTTTGTCTTTTGTGGTTAGTTTAGTTATTTCATTTTTAACATCTTCGTTCCAGTGGAATTGTAATTGTATGTGTGTATCAGTCAATATACCTCGTCACCGTTTTCGGTTGGCTGGCTATAGGAATTCCAAAAATCTTGCTTTCGAAGCACTTTTAGAAATGATCTCCGTCTCCGGGTCAATATTTATTACAGAAAAATATTTTGCGTTCGAGTGACATGAGTACATAGAAACGGATAAACACGATGTTTTCATTATTGTTACTTTTGCCGCTTGGAGCACTTTGTCATTGCCTTTTGCTGTGTCGAAAACAAAAAGGAAAAAAAAACATTTCTTTCAAAATCGACCCTAAATTGCTAATGTGTGCAGCGCCAGAATTGCCGACAAACATTAAATCATGGTGCGCGCGGTTTAGATCGGTATAATCAACACTTCACACATGATTATAATATCGGCATACGAAACGCTGTGGGCGTCCTTATTTTGATACTGCTCAAACTGACTGCATGTAGTGGTTGATATCCGCAGTTAGCGTAATCATAGCATTTAAAAAAAAATGACTATATTAAGTTATTAAAAATGGATTTCTAACGTAATTTTTAATGTGTTAAAATCATGAAGAGGCTGTCATAAAAAAACGGACTGCACGCATGCATCATGAAGGAACTTAACTCGGGTAAATTTTACTAAGCAGGCGCTACAGATGGTCATTGATATTATTAAGTACGTTAAAAACGCAGATAGAACGGAATAATTAAAATCATCTCCCTGATGATTTTCTAAACCTGACTCAGGTTGCCTGGTTAGAGCTGTCCACCGGATAAATCAGTATATACAGGCAGCGGATAAACGGTAAACCATGACTGAATTGCCTTATCCACTGGATAGAGATTTTGAAAAATTTGGGCCAGATACTCTGAAATAGTCAGGTGGGCCTGGCAAGTCTGTGGTGTGTCGAGTGGTTCTGACTGTAGCCTTCTATTGAACAAAAACACGCAAACTTACCATAGGTGCCCCCAAGCCAAGCACAATCACGAATAGACAGAATTTGTTCATCCTCTAGGCGATTTCTAGCTTGTTGAGATAAAAAAATCTTGTGTATTATCTGTTTTGTCGTCACCCAGAGCCACGTGCAAGCATACAATTACGTATGCTTTGAAAGGGACTTTGATACCAACTTTCTTAATTTTTATTCATGTCAAAGATAATTGGAGCCAATAAGAGAGTAGGTTTTAGGGAAAGTCCCTTGAAATAATGCCATCCGAGACGGCCGTCAATCAAATAGGTATAGGTCATGGTTTGTAGCGCTGATATTGCGTGGAGACAAACGGAAACGGTGCACTTAAGTTGCAAATTGATGAACCCTATATTGTCTGTCTAATCAATTTCTATTTCGCTTTTTTCAAATCCCTTTTGTTTGTTTTGTTTTGTTGTTTTGTTTTTTGTTTTTTTGCATTTTTCTATTTCATAGTTGTTGCAGTTAGAAGTATAGAAATACATGAATATTTAAGAGTCAGAGGGATTTTATTTGACCCGTGAAACAGATGCTAGTATTTACTGCAAAGTGTAGGTACAAGTAGAGTAAACAAAAGAAGAGAAGGGAATTAGAGCATAATAATGAGTCGTATTCCGCTACCAGTTAGCCTGCGAACAGCAGACGCATTTCCGGTCGTCGCTTCAGCCTCCCTTCGAAAATAGCGTCGCTATTTTCGGAGGGAGGGAAGCGACGACCGGAAATGCGTCTGCTGTTCGCAGGCTAGCTACCAGTGTGTCACGTTTTAACTGTGGAGATATTTTCTTTAGAGATGTCATGATATTACTACGTATACGGCAAGTTGAATTGGGGAGTATGTATCATATGATTGATCTCAGCTATGCTTAATTAAGAGGTAGGTAACCATTATGTAGAAGTTGAACAAGTGCTTTTAACTGGAACAAGAGTGGTTTAGCCACTGATTAATTCCTGTTTGTTTTCGTTTTTTTGTTTTTTCTTTCAGCATTTTTCTAAAACAGCATTATTGCAGAAAGTTGTATCAGTATAGAAATTTGTTAACTTTATGGCCTCGTTAAATGTTCAGTCAGCCGGCTGCTCGATTTCAAAGCACTTGAGAAGGATCCCAAGGGAAAGGCCGATCAAAAAATTTAGGAACAAACAAAATATGGGTTCCTCTAAGATAAGCCTAAGAAAGTCTAACGTATGGGCCGCCATCTGGGTTCATCCCCCGGGGGGCGGGGGGGGGGGTACTCCCTTATAAGGGCTTAATGGGGACGTGCGGCCAGCCAGGGTATGTTTTTCGGGATTTTTCTCTTAAACAGGGTATTAATTTTATCAATTTTTGTCTTAAACAGGGTATCTTTTATTAGACAGGAGCCCATAACCCTGTTCTTAGAAGATAAAGAGCCTGCGCTTATGTTCTACGAATGTCTTAAACTGGGTATCAAAAATCGGAATTCTGTCTTAAACAGGGTAGGAAAATCAGCAATTTTTGTCTTAAGCAGGGTCAGGGTATGAGGGGCCGAGCCGCACCTTCCCAACCAAGGATATATCGAGTACCCCCCCTCCCCCCGGGTTCATCCCTCGTTGCGTTGAACCCTAGATGCATGGCTGTCCGTTCTAGTACGTAAACAGTTGATTATTAATTCATGAAAATTATCTTGTCGCTGAGTCTATTCACGTTAAATCGATATTAATTAATCGATTGACATCGGAAATCGACTATATCAGAAGCCGATTACTTCGGCTCCTGATTATATCGATTATCGATTTCAGATACGTTTGTGCTACGCATTAGTAATTGAAAGTTTCACCTATTTTTAATAGTTTATTATGTTCCTGAAAAAGCGTCTGTCGAAAATACGAAAAGCTTGATTGAAACTGGTCGAAAAAATCGGTTCATCCATTGGTGAAACCAATCGATATTAATCGATTAATTTCTATCGATAGATTGGCTTCCTATGATCGATTTTGATCAACTGGGCACGCCGGATTGAAACGATAATTACGTTCATACACTCTTTTTAGTTCCTTCGAAAACCACACCCGATTCCATACCAAAATGGGCAAAGTGTATACCCATTTTCCGACCAAAACGGAGCAAAAACTCTACCCGATGGGGCAGCACGTACCTATATATATAGCTTATATAAGGAATCCCCCGCCCCGGGCCCTAAGAGAAACTGAAAATAGTTTGGGGTGACAAACAAAGAGCCTTATGATATGTTATGATATTTTCTGGAGTGGCCAATTCCCTGCTGCCCTGCCACTTGTTGCGCGATAAAACGTTGAACTGTTTGGCTTCCCTAATTCTCTAAAAGCGCCACATGGAAAAATATAAAGGAAGCCAATATTGTGGAAAAAGGACAGAATTGAAACAACTAAAATTTTGACTGGGTTGATTGTCAAGAACGTGTGCTGTACATGTGATTGTGGTGACAAAAAGGCAGGCCGTTCTAGAACATTACGTATTATAACTTAATGGACGTTTCAACATTCGCGATTCGGATCAATAAATTCTGCCGACTTGGCATATCAGTGGAAAAGATCTCAGGGAAACCAAGATGCAACCGAAAAGGTCTTCTGAAAACAGAAAAACTCGCGAAGGGTACTAAATCTAAATTCGCGGCTTTTTTTTTTTTTTCCCGGGACGTCCTGACCAAATCATAATTCGAATTCGATGAAAAGCTTCATGCGCTTGCCCGTTTAACGTGTACAAACTGTCACGTGATTGGAGGGGTAAACGCACAAAAAAGGAAGGAATAACTAAGGATGCAGTGAAATTGAGATCTTAGTTATTGTGTTAATTGTATATGTTGAAATTTACGTCATAGCCGTTTCATTGAAGCAATAAAGGAACAGATCGATTGTGTTGTTATATTGTACGGCTTCTTCAGCCGTAAACCGCGCGCTTAAGTTCGGTTATAAACTACACATACGGTTTGATGCTGAGAGACTCTTCTTGGACTACAATAAAAAAGTCATGAATTTTTTTTTTTTTTACCACAAACAGGAGATGACACAAACACTCAAGTCGTCAAGCACGTTAATTTTATGCTGAGTTCCTGAGAGGCTCATTCAAGCCTAACGGTATGTAAACAAAGGATATGCCACGTACGTATCAAGAGTTTTTCCGCATCTCCGGCCATAATGGTTTTAATTGGGCTCGTTGGAGAACCATAGAGATCGAAAAGGCCGACTGGAAATATATATTGTGTAAAAAAGTCACAAAAGTATTCCACTGGGGAGATCTATTTTAATAGATACTCAGAATAGAATGATACTCCTCAGTGGACGCTATTTTAAAGCGTGTGGGCGGCGGGGCGTGGGTGTGTGCCATCGCTCGAAACCGTTGAAATTATTCGACAGAAAATGTACGAGGCATATAAACTTACCATCTTGACCCCAGAACTAAGAATAAGGATTAAAATGATCATGCCTGTCAATGTGTCGTCAATATGCTATTAACAACTCCCAATCTTGCTGTACGTCTTTTAGCTCCTTTCAAATACTCGAAACATGTGTATATGTATGAGGAGTTTGGAACGAAATGCTAATTTGCCCTTTCTTTCATAAGAGCACTATTGCATCAGGCTCCTGTTTGCATTTGTTACCCGCGATATGCTTAGGCTTGTTTCTAAACATAAACTCGCTGCAGTCTAATTGCTTTCTTTGGTCGGGTATTTTCGGTTTTAAACCCAATTTCAAAATCATGAACCGAGATAGGGGTTAAATCACTTTCATTCATTACAAATTAGAACTCTTGCATAAGTCTCCATAATTAAATCGCTCAGCTGGCTCAGCGATGGCGGTGGCAAAGAATAAGACGACCCTCGAAAGCAGAAGTGGAAATAAGGTTCTCTCTGCGCTTGCAAGTTTTTCCGTATCGCTTGACTGTATTTTTGTTTTTGTCGGTCGTCGTTTGGCCAAGTGGGCCTTGCCCATTAAGACCCAGCAGAAAACCACGGTTCATAATTAACGACATGACATCTTGTAATCGATTAAATTGACGGGTAAGCAGTCAGTGAGAGTTAGGGCCTGTTTACATGGAGGTGGGGGACCCCAGGTAGGTGAGGTGACATGTGGCGGGTTACCCCACCTAACATGTAAACGTGATCACATTAAAATGAGAGATTGTATGGACAGGCGGGTTACCCCACCGATAAGCGGGTTACCTCACCTACCTGGTGCCCCCCACCTCCATGTAAACAGGCCCTAAGATAGGTTTACTTGGCTCGATAAACCGAGAATTAACCTAAACTTGATGACGTATAATTATACCGAGTTAAGAGGGGCAAAGGGGGTTGGGGGGAGGCCGGAGGGAGCGCCACGAGTTCCGACCCCTTAGCCAACCATCGAAAAGTAACAGCCCTTTCTTATGGCCCGATCCGGGTTTATTATTCCGTTCAGGTATGTCATTCCTTAAAAGTGCTGCTGACACAATTAACCGAGTACTGTTTCTAACTAGACCAGTCCTTTTCGAGTGTCAAAATAAGCATTCACTTAACACAGCATATACAGCTATTTCGAGAAAGGCTGTCGGCAAAAATGTGCTCGCGATAACCCGAAAGAGTAATATTTGATATGATCAATACACTGTTCCTGGCACTGTAGCTGTAAAAAATTCTTTTGTTGCTCTCCTTTAGCGCTCGCAAACATACGTCCATGGCCTCTCCTGTCATTCTTTCAAATTTCTGTGAAGAACAGCGAACTCAAACCCACCCGCAATACCTTTCGGGATTGTCGTGTGCACTTTTTCCAACAACCTTTCTCGAAGTAGCTGTATACAATTCAGAGCTTTTGGTCATGTTTTGTTTGGTATATGACCGGTACTTAAAGCTACAAAATTTTGGACGCCTCAGAGGACGCTGTGCTATGCGGACCCTTCAATAAATCGATTTAAAACTACTCATTAAATGAACCCAACACTAATTAAAAAACAGTCAAAGATTTCAACTTACCACCTGCTCAATAATGCTCAGAACTATCAATGAGCAGATTTTGTACATTATTGTGACTTCGTCAATTCACAGACAATGAAGGGCTTCTCTGATAACTGAAT